GAAGTGATGAGAATCTCTTTTAAGTCTTTATCCCGGTGTAAATTTTAACGTGAAATAGCGTGCATAACGGCACATGCATGCCGAGTGTATGAGCTCATATCCAATGCCGATTTAATGATACTTGGGGCCTTAAGCGGGCCCCATTCAAATACATATATAAATTAGAGAAAAAATCAGAAATACCGCTGTGAAAAATATTTTTTATGCCATTTCACTTAAAAGAAAAAATTATCATTCAATTCATTTAATAAAAAGAAAATAAGAGGACACAATAACACCTAATCATTTAGAGTGGTATAACTAATAGGTTTTAAAAAAACATGAGAAATTATGTACTTTTCTCATATAAAATATATATATTTCGTGATGCTATGCCTTGAAATGAACAAAAAAGAAAAAAATTGAATAATTTCGTATATCATTCCAAAAAAATGAAACAATCAACTGCATGCTCTAATGAAGGAAAAGAAATTATGGCCAAAATAAAACTACAACCAAATCAAAGAGTGAGAAAGGTATAACTTGGAAAACAAAATAGATCAGTAACATTGTAGTCTTAAAATAAACAAATCGTAGAGAAATATGAATCATAAATCTTAAACTTGAACCCGTGGAATAAACTCACCCATAGAATTTTGCTTCGAGAAAGAGAAGAAATATTATGCAAATACAAGAAGAAGATATTAAGACATAATTTAATAAATATGAAGAGAAAGAGTGGCAGAATATATATTGATCATATATTTATCTTTTATCTATTTTTAGGAAAGAGAAGGTTGCCATTTAAGCTAATTGTCTATCCCTATTAGTTAGGTAGGATGCTGAATTACAATTATTCTTTGACGTTTCTCATTCTTTTCTCTCTCTTTTTTTTTTTTTTTTTTTTTTGGTTTTTTCATGTTTTTGATTCAATTAGGAAAAACTGTCCCTATTTCTTTTATTTTTAGAGTTAAATTCATGAAGAGTCTCTAAAATTATTCCCTCTAAATCTAGTATCTATAGTCAATTTTGGCTTTTGAACAGTCCCTAAACTTAAAAAAATATCTTATAAATAGTCTCTCTTTTGAGTTTTAGATGAAAACTGTTAATTTAGTCTCATAAAAGGACCCTAAAATATTTTCTCTCTTTGAACGGAGTTCTTTTATTAAAAATTGTACTAAATTTAATCTCTAAACAAAAAAAAAATGATATGTCAAAACTAGTTCATTTGTTAAATAAAGAGATAAAAAAATTAACAAAAATGAGAAGTTGTACTAGATGTAGCTCCCAAAATAAAAAAAATATATATCAAAATTAGTCATTTTTTATTATTTTAGAGGAGATCTTGTAATAATAAGATTTAATTTGAAACCATCCAATCAAGAAACAACATAGACATGCCAACTCAAATTCTAGAGAGCGTATCAACATCCCATGTTTGACGGTATATATAAACAATTGTAGAATTGAAAGAAGAAAAGGAAAAAAAAAAAAAAAAAAAGAAGGGAAAGTCCATTAGCACAATTTCTTAAGCGGGAAAAAAAAGAGGGTCCAATGAGTACAATCCAACGGCCAACTCTTTAATATCACAAATTTATTAAGACATGTCGAAGGCTAATGTCCATATCAAGTTACCTTATTTTCTGCTTTAATATATAATGCTATATAAATATTATATTTAGTGCTTTAATTTGATCTAACTTTTGACTCGGGGACAAAATGTCAATAAATGATAGTATAAGATTCTTAGTGCCTATTGCCTAATAAAATAATTTAGAAATAAAATGTCAATATATAGTACATGGTACTTATTTCCTAATAAAATTATTGAGGGGGTGAAGTGTCAAGTAAGAAAAATTTAGGGAGAATGAATGGCAATTAGTCTTTAAATAATTTTAAATGGTAATCTTATATCTTTTGAAAGAAATGGTGAATACACCAACCGGAAAAGCGAAGAGAAAATGTAACGTCCCCATAGGCTAAACCGGTCTAAGGCCGAATTTAACAAGGTGGTTCTACTTAAAATATACTTTCTATACTTAAAACAATATCATTTTTTAAGATGCGGAAACTTGTAGTTGATTTCATCACAAAATTTTCGTAAAAATTTTTGAACAAAATGAGTAAGTGTGTAACCACAAATCTTAAACATTAAATAGTTATTCAAAAGCGACATAGTAACAAAACAAAAACATTTTGAGCCCATCTAGTGTTTGGAAGTACATATAAGCAAGATGCCAGATGTAAGACTTGGAGTACTCAGCCAACCTTGAAAATCATATTTCTTTTTACTCTTCGGTAACAACAACATCATCTGCATCACAAGGTAAAACTAATGAGCAAAAACTCAGTAAGTAGATTTCAAATCAAGTAAGTATCTAAAATCTCTGTGACTAAGATCTCTTTGTTAATCATTGTTCATAAACTTTCATACTTATTCTTAGTTTAGGTATGATACAGAACTTCGGTTCCAAGTAAGCCTCTCTATACAGGACCTTCTCTAATTTTGGCCAATTCTCTTCTCTTAAACACTAAGCGGGGTTTTTAGAATCTCTCTCTTGTGATCAACAAGAGACTTCCCACTAGCATTTTTCTCTAGTTGTCTCAAAGAGACAGTTTCTCTAATTTGGGGT